TGGATCCTAATGGACTCATCTGCCTGTCTCCAAAGCTCCAGGGCTACATCTTTGTCCCCAGGCCTTGGGTCCTGTGTTAGCTAACTCATACCAGGGCTCCCTGGGGACCATGCTTCTGCCTTTCTCTTTGGCCTTGGGTTCTGAACTTCTGGCTGAGGAAGGAGGGCATGATTTCCTTAGTCCTCCCCTAACCCCAACACCAGCCATATATGACCAAGGATGTCTGGCTTCTCTTTTAAGGGCAAAAATAGCAAGGGAATATGTAAAGAGTTAGAGAACAATTTGAATGTGAAAGTAAATACCTTATATATTTAAATAAGTTTAAAAACACATGTCTATAAACAAAGCAAAGTACATTTTAGTTGGTTTCTCCTTACTTTTTACTGATTAATTTCACCACTCTAAGGTTTAAATTCACAGCTCAGGGGATGCTGACTTCAGCTGTGCAAAAATAGACAATGTCAAATCAGGCCATTTCAACTCAGACCACATCAAAACTCATGATCACAAGAGCTTCAGGTACCTTCAAACCTGCAGCCTGACCCTTGCTGTCATCACCTTTGAACCACTTCCCACAACCTCCTATTTAGACTTACAGCATGTGAAGGCTTAAAAAAATACTCCCAGGAACTTCTATTTCTGACCTTGATGGAGTAACAGGAGGTAACATTCACCCAAAGAGACCTAAAATGAACAATAAATATAAAACAGTGGTTTGTGAGATACCATACAGGTAATGAAGGACTGTAAGCCCTGAGACATGGGAAACACGTGATGTGAACCCTTGAGAGAGTTTCCATGCTGTGGCACAGCAATGGAGATCCCAGAGTCCACAGCACACCTTAATTTGAGGATATGGAACTGGGAGTTCAGGAAGACCAAGCTAGCTAGAACTTGAAGGTAGAGAATTAGAGATGACAGCTTTACAGAGAGAGAGAGAACTCCAGAGATATGGAGAGGGTCCTCTTCAAAAATTCAGCTGTGTACTGATCAGCACATGTGTGTGAGCAAGCTACCTAAAGCTCAGGAAAGTTACACCAGAAAATATTAGACTTAGCACGTCCAGTGCTCACTTAGGGTCAGACACAATGATTGTTCTCAACAGCAAGAATACAAAACTTTCGGAATCACAGGGAAATGGGCAGAGAATGCAGAAGGATCTTGCCTCAGTAGTGGGAATATTTAACCAAACTTTGTCTACAGTATAATATTTGGATCATAATTGATCATTAATAGCTGTGGAAAGGACAATACCATATCTTGCTGTGCCTAATATCCACCCATGTTTTCAGCCTGAACTTTCAAGAAAAAATTTTTCTTTTGAATTTTTAATTGAATTTTTATTTATTTATATTTAGATGCTTGCTCTTTGTGTTATAAAGGGATTTGAGCATTTATTTTTAACACATTATGGTATAAGAAATTTTATGTAACAAATAATTACAAAACATAAGAACAGACACAAGGTATTTCAGGTACTACCAATGTATAATGCACACCCTTATTTTTCCTTCAAAAATTTGGGCTAAAACATGTACACTATACATACCAAATATACTAATTTGTGGACTTCATATTTGTGCACAAGTCAAATTAAGGACTATGATTTATACATAAAGGAATAAGATATGAGAATGGATGGGGAAATAAGAGTGATTTTGTTTATCAAAGTGAAGACACTCAGCCTCTCCCTCTCTCAGAGAGACCCCAGCCAGACAGCCATTAAGCACCTTATATGCCAGGCTCTGCAGATAAGAAACTTAGTTCTTGTCCTCAAAGGAAACAGACAGTGATCATATGGCTATTTAATTTATATAATGGAGGATAAACAAACAGTTATCACATAACTTATTGAAGCTCTGTGACAGAGTGGCAATCATCCAGATGGAATATAGAGGTTAAGTTTTCTGATAGAAGGAAGCACGGAGACTGTGGATGTCTAGAGGAAGTGCTTAATCCCATTAGCATTAGCCAGGTTTTCCAACAAGCAAGTTACCCTCGTCACCATCAGTTATTCAAGTAAGGAGATTCTAGAGGACTCAGACACGTCCTGACATCTCCTGAGAAAGACAGCCATGAGTTAGTCTAAAACCAGTGGCATTTCAACAGGACAAGGGATTAGCTTCTGGCCTTTTCACAAAATGTGGTTGTGATAGACAAAGACAAATGTGTTTTTTAATATTATCCCCCATAACTGAATAAACATACTTCATTTTATCAGTCTCATTATACAACATCATTTTGTTATAACATTGATGAGGAACTTTAACTCTTGCTTATGTCAATTAGCCTGTGGTCAAACTGGTTTTGTTCTAAGTCATTCGACTTAAAATCACAGGACCTATCAATGACTTCAAGTGAGGACTGACTGTATTGCCATCAACATTTATGGATCACTTTCTATTTTCTATGTGTTTTCACACCTATTATCCAGTTTAATCCCACAAACACCCAACAAGACCTACACTACATTTCTGTTTTACAATATTTACAGTTTCCAAAAGTACTGAGTTTCAGTACGCTAAGTAACACACCCAAATATCAAAGTTAGTGATCCTAACATAGATGATGTTTAATTTCAATCCCACAATGCCTCTTTTCCTGATAGAGATATCAACCACAGTTAAAAGAATTTCTTAGCAAGGTTGCGCTTTCACTGAATTTCATTGGTAGATTTGAATTTCACAGGAAAATGAATTTCAACTTCTCTGAAGCTTCATGAAAACAATTGATTAAGAAATAAAAATGTTGCTTTAATTAATGGTCATAACTCAGGCCTAACCAGTGATGCATTGCACAGTTCTGAGGGCACCATTCACCTAGACCATGATGTGAAGGATGTTTCCAAAAGCAGTACAATTAAACAAACGTGAATATGATTGTTGCATTTTTACAATAGTTTGTAGTTCACAAAGGATGTGCACAGTACTTGAGCTTTACAACGTCATTACTATTATGATATCTCATTACACAGAAGAGGAAATGAGATCCAGAGAGGTTATACAGTGTGCCACTTTATGATGTTTCCAGTATTTTAACCTCATAAGTTCTACTTCAGGATTCTTTCCTCTGCCTCACATGAACCTGCATTATTTTCTTCAATGTGAAATTTTTTTAATTTATTTTTTTATTTTTTGTTTTTCCATCAATGTGAACATTTTTGATATAACACATTCCAAGAGCTGGAAGCTAGGTTTTTAGAACTACAGCAAGAGTCCCGTAGAAGGTACCAGAGCCTTGGTAGTGTCTCATATTGGTTCTCTGACCCACTCCTCTTTCTTGGTCACTGCTTCCCCAAAGGGATTAAGACAAATTCCCTGCAACCAAGGACATTTAAACATGTTTGGTACACCAGAAAGAAAGGGAAGGGAAGAAGAAGATACTGGGTCCTGATATTGATGCAGGAGGCCAGTGATTTAGGAAGATCAATACCTCAGGATGGGCCGGAAGTATGGGAGGATAGATGGGAAGAGGTGACAGAAGCACCTAAAGTGATGTGGTCAGGATAAAGAAGGTGTGATCTGGCCTTGGAGAAGATGTAGAAAGGAAGCACTCTGCTTTCCAATCATTCCCAGAGGCTGAGCCATACTCATATGGAGCCCAGTCCAAGAAACTGGGCCCCAGAGGTGGCTCTCAGATTTGCAATTACTTCCACAACCAGGACCTCCTTAAGTTCCTACTTCCACCCCTAATACATAGAGACACAATTCTACAATCATTGCCCAGGAGCACAGATGCTGTCTTCACTCTGGAGCCATGTGTGCGGCAGCTACCACACAAAAGAAATGTGCCCTAAAACACATGCACCAGACATATGCCCTAAAATGCAATATTCACAAACACTGCATGTACACACATACCTGCATACACACATGTCCTTCAGACATTACATTCCATCTGTGTGTGACTAAACATGCTTGTATCACACAAAAATTATTTCATATCACAAATACCGTATACAACAGACATGTGCCCAAACACAAAGACTCCACATGCTGAAAGCTGTAGCCATCCAAATTCAACACATTCCACATACTCGTACATATTAGATATTCTATATAAATTGTTACAAATGTGTAATATTTTATATTCTACATTTTCCATATTTGAAATATGAATAAAAATAGAGGCAACATTTTTATCAGACATTTATAATGATATTGTCCAACATTCTCAGTAGATGCATATCACATGCCAACTAACACAGTCCACAGAAACATAGTCAGTGTGCAATCAGATCTATTATCCATGAAACATACATGTCAAGGCACACCTACCACATTCACCAAGACACAAATGCACAACTGGCACATTTTCTTTGTACACACACACAATGAAAATCACTTATACTCACATAAATACACCTACACACTCACAGCCACAATCAGAATGCACAGTACTTCTAGGGGAAAGCAGTCTCCAGTAGGCCCACATAGATAACATTGGCAGTTTCCACATAAATACTCACACGTGCATACAGAGATGCAAACATTTCATGAGAACTGACTCCTCTTCTGTTACTATCTCCCTCCCCTCTCTTCAATTACTATCATCACCCACAAAAAATAACTGTGTAACCACCTTGGAGTCTAAGAAAGAATTTTGAAGACCCACACAGCTTCACTGACAAGGATTTGTGGGACCAAGCATCATTGAAATCATACATCAAGACAGGAATTAATATGAGCTGTGGCATTTGCAGCCTTATCATGTCAAAACTGTATGTGTTTTCTAGTTGGAAGAGGGAAATAAGGCAAGACCACCAGACCAGAGACACTAGGGTGATCATTCTCCAGGATGGCTTGTCCAGACTGGGTCATAAGTTCTTCTGCATTTGGCACATTCCTGGAAACAAAAATCTCTTTAAAGTTATCTAAAGATCTCTTTAGATAACTAAATGACAGATTAATAGGTTTCATGCTCCAAACACCAAGACTGTGAACAGGATCCTCTCCACCCACATTTGGTAGGAATTGAGGATACTAGGGAGGTTATCCTGCTCACCTGCCATCCTGTGAGAGTATATGGAGGACTCGTGAACGAATCTCCTTGGTCTTGGCTCCATAGACAATGGGGTTGACCACAGGTGGTAGTAGTAGGTAGATATTAGCCATCATCACATGGGTCAGGGAGGTAGGGCCACCCACCCTGTGCACCACTGAGAGCCCAATGAGGGGCACATAAAAGACCAACACAGCACAGAGATGGGAGACGCAGGTGTTGAAAGCCTTGATTGCTGCAGCCCGAGAAGATAGCTCCAACACAGCTCTCAAGATGAAGATGTAGGAGAAGCCAATGCAGAGGGAATCCACACCCATTACTGAGAGGATTATGAAGAGTCCATATACTACATTGACTGTGGTGTCAGTACAGGACAGTTTCATGATATCTTGGTGCAAACAGAAGGAATGTGTGACAGTATGTGTTTGGCAGTATGACAATCGCTTCAGGATGAAAGGCAGTGGGAAGAAGAATACAAATCCCCTTGTCAGGGCAGCTAATCCAATCTTGGCAACATTAGGCCCTGTGAGCACAGAAGCATGCCGCAGTGGGTGGCAGATGGCCACAAAGCGGTCAAAAGCCATGCCCAGCAGGACAGCTGACTCCATTGCTGACAGAGCATGGATAAGGAACATTTGGGCCAAACAAACATTGAATTCAATTTCCTGGATGCCTGTCAGGAAGAGGCTGGCCATCTTGGGCATGGTGACAGAGGACAGGACTAGGTCAATGGTGGAAAGCATGGCCAGGAAGAGATACATGGGCTCATGCAGGCGCCTTTCTATGCGGATGATGAGGACAATGGCCAGGTTGCCCAGGGTGGCCAAAGCATACATAAAGCACAGAGGGAAAGCCAGCCAAAAGTGAATGTTAGGCCCCAATCCAGGGATGCCCACCAGCAAGAAGTATGCTGGGTGGACCACAGTTCCATTTGGAGTGGCCATGACAGAACCCAAGAGCTGAGGCTTTTGCACTGAAGTCCAAGGTCTAAGAAAGGGAAAAGGGGAAACACCATTCAGTTAGTGTCTCAGAGGAGAAAAAGGACATATGGAAGGGGCACTGAAGTAGTGACAATAGCAAAGAGAAAGACTAATTCTGAACTCCAGCTTCTCTCTACTCTAAGTCTTCTTGTGCATACCTCCTTGGAGGTCCCATCAATCTCAGTGTGTGATGACCCACTCAGAAAACATGTTCGACAGCTCTTCATTTTTAGAGCAGATGTGGCTGGTCAAGGTACTGCTCTTGGCCACTTCCCCAACAGAGAGTAGACCAGCTTGCACAGAACCTTCCACGTAGACTCTGGCTCTTCTTGTGCATGTGGGGTTAGGGTTGGTTTCGATCCAGATTTTGAGGCTCAGTCTGTGGTTACCTTTAAGACCACCCTGATCTGATTTAGGGCAATAATCAGGGGTTAAGCCTGGGAATGGATTTCAAGAGACAAGTTTGTGTTTAGGCATGAGCAGCATTTCTTAGACAGATTCCCTGATAGATTCATCTGAAGCAGTTACTGAGAACACTATACCCAGGGTCCTACTCCAGGACCAAAGAATAGAATTTTTAGGGGGGAGTTCAGAAATCTGATTTAAAAAAAACAAACAGTCTCTTCTTTTAAGATGATTTTTTTAAATCTGAGAGGTTGAGGAAAAGCTAGTCTGGTGTTCTGGGAGGTGGGGAGATGAAGGTGAAGAAAAACTATTATTCCTAGCCCCCAAGGAAAATCAGAATCTTTCATCAGTATCTTTCAAGGCCCACATGACAGTCAGACCCAGATTGTGCTTGACTGGGATGTGACGTGGAAACCAGTTGCAGCTGAGACATAAAAATAAAACCAGTCATGTTGCGATGCTATCTGGTGTCCACAGGCGCACCCCCTCTTCCTCCATTATTCTTCCTGTGGTCACATAATGCCCCAGGCTCATCTTCCTCTACACAGACTACTTTGTTCTAAGTCTCTGTCCTGAGATCCAGACCCATATAACCTTCTGCCTCTTCATACTTCTACTTAATAGCCTATGGATCTCATACTTGTCCTGCCCCAAAGAGGACTCCTTCAGAATGGTACCACTCAGTCACACAAGTCATCCAGCCCCATTTAATCCCATTTCAATTTCTCTGTGTTTTCACCTCCACATGTGATTTTGTTTTTCCAATTAACCTACTATGACCCTTTCTCTTATTTAACACACCCTTCCTCCCTCCCAACCTCATTATATCATCCACTCTGCTCTGTTTATGAAAGGAGCTTCCTCACTCACCTTCCTGATTCCACACCCAGTCTGTGTCAATCCACCTTTCACATCACTACCACCTATACAAGCAAACTTGACATGTCAGGTTCCTGGTTAGCAACTAACAAGTGATTCCCAAAGCCTTCAAGACAGAGTTGAAACCACCTGGTCTGCATTCAAGGCCCTTTGCAGTGTGGCTCCAACCTAACTTCCCACCCAGCTTCTGTTTCCTTCTTTATCAATCACCACCACCACCACCACCACACACATATTTTTCCCTGGGTAAATGAACTGCCCTTGCCTTGTTTCTTCAGTGAAGGGTAGGAGGCTGGAACTGGAGAGTCCAAAGTTCAGAATAGGTCTCAGTGGTTTAAAGAAATTCCTTTTTGAGTACACCCCTGAACAAGGTCTGAGATCCAGGTCTCTGTAATCTAGGAGGTATAGAAGCAGGCAGACCTCTCCAAGCAACCAGGCTGTCTGAGCAAAGGCCTCAGCAATGCCTCCTCCCCTCCAGGTCTCTGTGACAAGCCACCCTTCACATTCCCTCCCTGGACCGAGCCTGGCACACTCACCTACAATACCTCTGTCCAAGGCCACTGCCCATATATAGCTTTTCTGAGGCCCCAGGGAGTATTAGGGATGAGGAAAAGTGAATTACTCTGGGCATCCTGGGACCAATGCTCTGCTCAGACGCCCCAGGAAAGCTGAGCCCTGACTCCTACCCAAAGGGACTGCTCTGTTACTATTCTAAGGACAGCTCAAGAGACAAGAGGGAAGGCAGGTAGGTGCCTTAAGGTGGATAGAAGAAGAAAAATTACCCACGCTGGGAGAAAGGAGCTCCTGGAATGGAGGTGTGGGCACACACAAGAAAGCACACAGACCTGTGTATGCATATTCCTATTCACGTCCAGAATGCACTGTCCAAGGGAATCCAGAGCTGTGCTCAGACAGCTTCTCGCTTCTTGATACTGCCCTCTTGTGGTAGTCTATGGGAGTTGCAACCCCGTGGCTGATTGGGCTGAAGATCTGACAATGACTTCAAGGACCAAAGGCCTGACCTTGAATCAATTCACTCCACAGCACTATGCTAACCCTTAGCTCTCCCTCCCTCTCAAGACAACCTTTTCTTTCTTGAGCCACTAATCATAGTTCTTCTGTTCTCCCCCAAATGAGACAGCATAGTGTGGTCGTTTTTATACATAGAACTCTGTGAAGAAACAGACTTGTGTCCAAATTCGAGTCCAACCACTTACTAATGGTATGACCACCCTTAGCCTCAGTTTGAGTTGAAAAGTAAAAGGAGACATTAGCAATTCTCCAGTGAATGTTTGTGTTCATATTCTAAACTGGAAGAGCCACCAACATAGAAGGAAATCCAATTGAAATAGTGATACAAGCACCAAAGGAAGAAAATACATTGGGAAGGAAGAGTAGACAGCAGTGCAGAAGGCTGCTGAGAGATCAAGCAGTAAATAGACTAAAAACAGAAGCTCACTGGTTACCTTGCGAAGAACTGTTGAGGTGAGCTAGTGGTAACAGAATCTTGAATGAAGTAGAGTAAGGAGTGTGTAGGGAAGAAGTGGAGAAAGTGAATATACACAACTCTTTTAATAAGTTTGTACATGACAAAAATCAATAAAATGGGCAGTATGTGAAGAACTTACAGATCCTAGAAAAGTTTTTAAATGTGTATTTTGGAGTCAGGAGAGAATTGAACACAAATGTCAACAGGATGGAGTTAGTTGAAATACTCTGTCCTTTACCTCTCATACTACTAGTGGAGCTCTTCAAGGCTATGATCCTGGTCAACTCTATCCTTTCCCCTCTACATGGTAACCATGAGTAGAGTGGAAGCAATGTCACCTGCTTCCATAGCTTCTATCTCCCAAACAATCCACACCAATATCCTGAACTCAAGATGTGGCAATGTCTATAGGACATCACAATTCAGTTTTCCCTAGGGCACCTCAAACTCAGTATCTCCAAGTAAGCTCATTATCTCTGGCCCCCCGTCTGTGCTTCCACTCTATGTTTTCTATTTCTTATCACAGAAATAACTATGTTGCCCAACCCAGAAATCTGGAAGCCATCATCTCTGCCTTTGCACACTCTCTCTCTCTCTTTCTATCTCTCTCTCTCTCCCTTCCCCAAACCCATCCAATCCATCATCAAGTCCTCTTCATTCAGATGGCCAATAGACATATGAAAAGATGTTCAATGTCACTAATCATCAGAAAAATGAAATTAAAACCACAATGAGATATCACCTCACAACTGTCAGAATGGCTATCATTAATAAATCAAGAAACAAGTATTGGAGAGGATGTGAAGAAAAGGGAACCCTTGTGCACTACAAGGGATTGCAAATTATTGCAGCTACTATGGAAAACAATATGGAGGCTCTTAAAAAAATTAAAAACAGAACTACCTCATGACCAAACAATTCCATTTCTGAGGATATCCAAAGAAACCCAAAACACTAGTTGGAAAGAATATATGAACCTCTATATTTATTGCAGCATTAGTTACAATAGCCAAGATACGGGGAATGAACCCAAGTGCCCATCAGCAGATGAGTGGATAAAATATCTGTGGTATATATATATACAACAGAATATTACTCAGCCATAAAAAACGAAATCTTACTTTTTACAACAGCCTGGATAGAACTAAACGATATTATGCTCAGTGAAATAAATCAATTAAAGAAAGACAAATGCCATATGATTTCACTTACATGTGAAATCTATAGAAAAAATAAATAAGTAAACAAATGGAAACAGACTCATAGACACAGAGAGTACTTGTGGTTGCCAGAGGGGAGGGTCTGTTGAGGAACTGAATGAAAGAGGTGAAGGGATTAAGAAGTAAAAATTGGAAGTTATAACATAGTCATGGGGATATTAAGTGCAGCATGGGGAATATAGTCAATAATATTCTAATAATTGTGTATATTTCCAAATATCTGAGGGAACACTTGGTGAAGTATATGATTGTCTAACTACACCTGAAACCAATACAAAATAATATTGAAATTAAACTGTAATTGAAAAATACTACACAGCACAAAGAAAGAATGAACTCATACTCTTTGCAACAGCATGGATGGAATTGGAGAGCATTATGCTAAATGAAATAAGCCAGGCAGTGAAAGACAAATACCATATGATTGCACCTTTAAGTGGAATCTAATCAACAAAATAAATAAGGATGCAAAATATAACCAGAGACATTGAAATTAAGAACAATCTGACAGTAACCAGAGGGGAAGTGGGAGGGGACTATGGGGGGACATGGGTGAAAGGATTTCAGGAATGACTACAAAGGACACATGGACAAAACCAAGGGGGATGGGATCAGGGGAGGGAGGTGGGGATGGCTGGGGGATGTAAAATGCAGACAACTGTTCTTGAACAACAATAAAACAATTTTAAAATAAAATAAATAAAATAAACAAATTTTTTAAAGTAGAAAAAAATTGCCAAGTCTTTTTTATTTTTCTCCTGGATATCTCATGAATTAGATTATGTTTTCCATCTCCTTTGCCTTTACTCCAGTTCAAGCCAAGAAAATCTCTTGCCTAAATCATCAGAATAATTTGTTCACTGCTGAGCCTCACTGGAGATTTTTCTTACCAATTCACAGTGGCCAGCATGATCTTCAAAACACCAATTAGTCTGTAGTATCTTCCCAGTGACATTAGAATGAAAAGTTGGAGTTCATACTTCCTAACCCAGCTC